ATTTATTTATTTATTTATTTATTTATTTATTTACTAAGTAACAAACACTGCATAAAAATGAACACAAATGAAAGAAAAAACAGAACAAAGAGGTACAAGTCATTGCTTATAGGTTCGCACAGCAAAGTCCATCAAGGATCTTAAGTTCTGTATTCGTCTTTGCTTTTCTTCTCCCAACCTAGGTTTGCCCAGCAGTTAATGTCTGTAGTGCCCACATAGGCAGTTAATTTTAAAGACTGGTGACCAATGCTATCAATCATTTAATCTCTCTTCCATAGTTAAAAAAACAAGATTTTAGAAGGGTGTTTATAGACCCTTTTCCATTTGAGTAGGTTATGGTGTCATGCGATACACAAGGTAAAAGTCTAAATTACCCACACCCTTGGCTAAGCAAATCTTGTGTGTCAATTTTTCAGCAGTGGTTCTTTGCCATTCCTCCTCACCACTATGAGCTGAATAAAGAGCATGAAATCCACCCTCGACTCCGAGTACATTTCAGCCTCCCTTCACGGAAATGCTTAAACCACTCATACACTGAGTTTTGAGTTACAGCTTCATCTCCGCACATAATTGTGAGCATTTTGTGAGTTTCCGATACCGATTGTATTTTTAAATATTTCTTGCTGTCCCATTTCTGTGACCATTCACCGAACTTTCCGGTCACACCTTGTGGATGACTGGCAGAAGGCTTTGTAACCTGGCCTTCTTCCTGAAATTGTCATTTTCTGTGTACAGGAATATTTTTCTCATAGAGGAGCATTCCACCACAGGAGTCCCTGCCTATAGTCTGAAGTGTCTGTCCCCAGAGACCTAAATTTATCACCTCATTGAAATCTAGGTCTATGCTGGGCTCATGTTGTTTTGCCATCCCTTTCCCTGAGTACCACAACTGCCTTCATTCTGGCAGGGGACAGGGGGGTGGACAGTAAGGGGTGATATTCAGGTCAACAGGCATCCAGGAAACCACTTTGCTTTCCATGTCATTGCCAATTAACTAGTCAAGTTAAGCAAGAGGGTTTTTTTAATGTTTACTCTGGCCAGATGTGAACATGCATTGCATTTGTGCCAAGGCCTAGTTCTCCCAAGCAAATGAGACATATTTTATGGAAGTCCAGCACATTTCGCATTCCCCCGCCCTCCCCCCCCAGCTCACCCTGGCATGTAGCCAGGGCAAATCAGGCCTATGTTAGATCTTGGAGAGAATTTTATTGTGGACCTGTCAGCTAATTCATATATACTATATAGTTTTTGGCTTACGTCCCTTGTTAAAAATATTTCAAGAATTTCTGGATCAGGTTAAGCTGAACTTCAGTGTTTATTTTCATTTCGTATTATTTCCAATGTTGCTAAAGGTCACCAGCTTAATTGCATAACAACCCAAAATCAAAGTGAATGGAAATGTTTGAAGACTCCATGCACAGTTGGGAGTCAGAAGAGCAGACGTTAGAGAAACATACATTTTCAGATGGTACGTTTTGGTTACCGGAGTCTCAAAAGCCATTGTTTTGCCATGGAGTGGGCCATCACTTTTCCCTTCACAGCCCTGACATCTTCCATTGGATCACAGTACAAGCAAAGCTGTGTGTCCCTTGCAGGATGGTTGAAGAATAAATTCAGGTTGGAATGCATATTAATGGGGAAATTTGCATTTCCTGAAACAACATACAAACTAAAACAGCTATCCTTCAAAATTCACTGACCTCTGAATTTTGCAGTGTGATTTTCTGACCAAAGAGACCTATACAAAAAGGTGTATGTTTTAAAAAGACTTTAAAAAATGCATACATTAATGAGTGTTCTTGTGCATGAATCCTGCCTGTGGGTTTTCCCACAGACAATCTGACTGACCCCTGTGAGAACAGGACACTTGGCTAGATGAGCCGTTGGTCTGGTCTGTAAGGTTGTTGGTGAAGCCGCTGCTCTCTGCCTTGCTTGCCCTACATTTCCAGGCTTTACTGCCATCATTTACAATCCTGCACCCTTGGAGCCCTTTCCAAAAGGTTAAAATCCTACAGTTTAGCCATTTGAAACAGGGAGCGCAAGACAGATAGTAACTAACAGTGCTGTTGCAACCATGTCAACACAGAAGTTCTACTGAACTCAGTGGGGCTTGCTCTCAGGTAATACATGAGCTTGCTTTCCCCCCCTCTGCCCTCCCAGTCTTTTTTCCTTTTGTGCCATGGCTGTTAAATTGCAATTCTCCTGTTACTGAGCTGGGAGAATATTAAAAATGTCTTATTTCATTTATCATTTATTTATTTAATCAATGGAGCTGGTTGCTGGGATTCTGATCTGCATCAGCTGCTTGTACCTACTTTATTACAACGGGGTCCCCTTCCCCATTACTTTTCTAATTTTCTTATATAATAATAATAATAATAATTTTTGGGCGGCTCCCAATCAGTGTTAAAAACAGTACAGTGTTACATATTAAAAACTTCCCTGAACAGGGCTGCCTTAAGATGTCTTCTGAATGTCAGGTAATTATTTATCTCTTTGACATCTGATGGGAGGGCGTTCCACAGGGCGGGCGCCACTACCGAGAAGGCCCTCTGTCTGGTTCCCGTAGCCTCACTTCTCACAATGATGGCCCTCAGTGTCCGGGCTGAACGATGGGGGTGGAGACGCTCCTTCAGGTATACAGGACCGAGGCCGTTTAGGGCTTTAAAGGTCAGCACCAACACTTTGAATCATGCTCGGTAACGTACTGGGAGCCAATGCAGATCTCTCAGAACCGGTGTTATGTGGTCCGGGCGGCCACTCCCAGTCACCAGTCTAGCTGCCGCATTCTGGATTAATTGCAGTTTCCGGGTCACCTTCAAAGGTAGCCCCACGTAGAGCGCGTTGCAGTAGTCCAAGCGTGAGATAACTAGAGCATGCACCACTCTGGCGAGACAGTTCGCGGGCAGGTAGGGTCTTAGCCTGCGTACCAGGTGGAGCTGGTAGACAGCTGCCCTGGGCACAGAGTTAACCTGCGCCTCCATGGACAGCTGTGAGTCCAAAATGACTCCCAGGCTGCGCACCTGGTCCTTCAGGGGTACAGTTACCCCATTCAAGACCAGGGAATCCCCCACACCAACTCGCTCCCTGTCCCCCCAAAACAGTACTTCTGTCTTATTCATTACTTATTATGCTAAGAGCACATCTCTGTTCTTTTGTCTTGCAGAAATCAAGAAAGTGTGCATGCAGGCTTCTTTCCAATCCCTTGGTATCCAATTAAATCACTTTAAACCCATTATGCTACCAGCATGTATATGCGAGGTGTTTTGCAATTATGTCGTCTCTAACTGGCTTCCTACGGGCCTGTCTGGGCCACACTCAGAAGCCTACCTCTCTTCCTGCCATCCCCTGCAGCCTGCTACTCAGAGTCCAGTGACTCAAGTGGGTCTTCAAAGGAGTACCAAGACAGCCCAACAGTCCTTTAGCTAAGGCAAGCCCAGTCACATTTCCTCCACTTACATCATCAGCAGTAGGATGGCCCAAAAAGAAAATATGCATCACCCAGATAGAGGACAAAAGAAGGAATGGATTTCCATAAGTTTCTTCATCTTGCATATAGAGGCAAATTTAGAAACTGTCATTTAAATAGAATAACATAGTGAGGAAGATTGTGACCAGTTGACCTGTGTGTCTGCTCAGTCTGCTGCCCAAGTGCTAATTGTTGGTTGGCAGCTTCCAGGCTCAACCACTGCTATGTCCTAAGATGGCAATATTGATGCTCTTAGCATTTGAATGTCATCGCTGGAAAGCTGTAAGGTAATCTTTCACATTAGACAGCGTTAATCCCAGGAGAAGCAATGTCCCAATTATATTAGGGTGGCAGTTTGGGAACTAGTTGCTTGGGATTATCACAGACTTCCAAGGGGATCTTCTTGTGTATTAGATACAAGTCCAAATGCTCAGCCAGAACGGCATTCCACATTCAGGTTAAGAAAACTTGTAGCAGTGCAGTGGTAGGGAAGCCCAGGTCCATGGGCCAAATTCGGCTCCCTCTGAGCCTTTTTATCCAGCCCTCAGGACTCTCCCCAGGCCTGGGGTAGGAACCTTGTGTCCTGTGGCCAAATGCAGCACCCCTAGTCTATCGGGCCTTTGAGATACTCCCCTGGCTCTCCTCCACTCCAGACCTCCCCTCTTCTCAGCCCTGCTCTATGCCTCTTCGTGTTTTGCATGGCCAAAATGTGTCCTTGAACTATTATCATGCCTCCTGCCTAGATGGAGGAGAGAGAGAGAGAGATGTGTGCAAAAAGAGTGAATTTTGCATGTCTGGGATGCAGCCTGTTGTAGAAAGGTAAGAGTCTTATTCATTGACCCACACAGGGGAAGACTTGAGTAATCTTTTGTAATATGGCACCCTATGAGAATTTGGTGCCCCCAAATGGATCTTTTCAGTTATTTTCTCAGTTCTGTGTCGCTCAGCTTGGCACCGTGTGTAGGGGAAGCACCTTAAATCTCGTACTGCCCCACACATTTTTTCCTCTGCCCACCACTGGAATGCAACCCCCAAAAGGTTCCCTGTGAAGGAATGCAGTCATTCAGCTGAAAAAGGCTCCCCACTCCTACCATCAAAAGCAGACCTGTTTGTTCACTTCTTTCAGTGGCAATTTCAGCCACAATTTCCATAAACTAGAATGCCCACTGCCTTGTTCTGTGCTACCAAGTGCTTCAGAAACATTATCTTGTTGCACAAAATAAAAGTAGGTATGTTGGCTCAAAATACACGCTGTGTGCAAGCTTTTGAGTCCCCCAGAACTCTTTATCAGGCTAGATGGGGGGGGGGGGAGAAGTTGGCTGATGTTGAAGTCATGCCACCGTAATTCTGGTCTGTTGCAATCCTTACAACAACCTTCGCTCCATATTGAAGTGGTGGGAAAGCAAGGGAGGACTGAGTTTGAGACAGAGCAGCTTACTCAAGGCAGAGTTCATGGCAAAGGTGAGATTTGCCCCAGGGAATCCTGAGTCACAGAGACCCCATTGGAGTACTGAGCACACACCGCAGAAAATTCACAAAAGAGTGATCGCTTTATTTAAATAAAAATTAGTGTTTGTCAGAAAGGAACAGTTAAACTTAAATATGTAAGACAAATATATACAGCTTGGTATCAAAGTATATACACAATTGTCTTTTGAAGCAAAGAGAGAGTGACAAGTAGATTTGTACGGAAATCAAAGAAACGAGGACAAAGCAATGGAAAAACATGACAACTCGAAAGTCGGAGTTGGAAAGTTTCGGGATTCAAGTGATTCCAGGCAACATGCCAGAAGTAATTTGGCTCCTTTGAAAACTTAAAACAGTCCCTCTTGGAAGAAAGCAACCCAGAATTCATGCTTGCGGGTTGATCGGCCGAGTCAATGAAATATTCCCATTGCCTTTAATGAGATCTGCAGCCACTCGTCAATGAGCAACAAAGTCTCTGCACAAACAAAAGTATCCCCAGTGACATCAGAAAGAGGAGGTGAAGGTCCCATTTAGTCTGTCCCCACTCATACAGAACTTGGAACTGAGACTTTCAGATGGGAGTGGGAAATGAGAGCTCTTTGCCTCATTTGCGCCTGTCCCCTTTTCATGCTCTGTTTTCCCACACCGTATCCCATGGCAATGAATATGTTCTGGAGCTATTTAACTCAGAAAACTCAGAGAGGCATTTTGGCAGCATTTCTGTTCTCATACTTATGAGACCAATCTGACGTTATTGTCCAGTGCAATGCACAATGGAAGCAAAACCCCTCTGCCCCAGTGCTATTAAACCCTCTATGAAAATTGTGCAGAGGTTTAACTGGCAAGTTTCAAGCATTTGTAATATGAACATACAGTGTGGTTCAGTTCTTCAGAGACACCAGTGCCAAACTATGGTTAAAAAGCTTACCTATGGCTTAGCATGATATTTGAACTGACAAACTGTGGTTTGCAGACAGCCAACAAATGAGAACCAGGAATTAAGTTTGAAGGGCATTTGCAAACAAAAGGTTGTATCCAGGCTAAGCTAGTAGCGCTTTGTTCCCATTACAATCAGTGGGACAAGTTTATCATTACTAACTTAACTCCCACTGATTTCAAGCATGACTAACTTAGTCTGAATCCAGCCCAGTGGCTTGTGATAATGGTGCTACAGTGTGAAATCTAAATTGCCAGTTACAGGCCATGTTCCGTATCTTGCATCATTGGAACAAGAGTCTTGTACAGATGGAAAACAAAAGCAGGCAAGCACATTTGAACCATGATTTGCCCCCATCTGCTATGAAACTTGAAATATGATTTGGGCTCTGATTCATGCTTTTCATATGATAGCTGAATGGAGCCATTGGGCTAAACATTCTTACAGCAAATCAGGACATAGAAATGCATGTATCATGATGCAGACCTAGCCTGATCTGTGTCTGTTTTTGTAGAATGTCGCCATGGTGCCCACTCCATTTCATTGTGTTACCCCACCCCACCCCCTCTAAATGCTACTAAAATGAAAAGAGTTTAGTATCCCCATGGATTGAGATCATGGTCTGCTGGTATGAATGGATGTAGCTTCATTTCTTTCACAGACACTCTGAAAGAAATATTTGCTCAGATATACTCGCACATGGACCTACTTCTTCTGACACAGCTGCACATATCTGAGAGTCAAGAATGAATTAAACTGTGCTCCTGCTTAGTCACTGACTGAAGCAAAGCTCTTTGTTTGGTATTGCATTATCCCTGCCCTTTGTGACCACATTTTCCATAGAAACTCTTTCTTTTAGACATGCTTATGGGGGTGAAACACTCATAAGACCAGATCCATGAGGCTGGCAGCTCATTCACAAAACATCCCTGATGTTTCTCAGCTACTTCCCAGATATTTGCAGCATTCTAAAGCAAACAGAGAGGCTACGCAAAGACATTTGCCAGGAGAGAAAAATCCCTCCCTGTCCTTAATAACAAAACTATTCTCCTATGCACAACAAATGCCTACCCAGTTGTTTTTCTGCTTGCTGCCTCTCCTCCCTGCTTCCAGGCACCCCTTCCATCACTGGTGCTCGACAAATCAAGACAGGAGGCAAAATGGGAAATGGTTTTCCTTCAGTTCTACTCATTCGAAAGATGCTGTGTCTCCAGGTCCTGCAAGCGCTAGGAATTTTGGTGGATGCTTTCCGAAGAACCTTCACTGCTGTCATCGAGGAGAGCCACTTCGCCTGTTTCTCCCAGCTCGGCATCAGCCACTTCCTCTTGAATAGTGAGGTGAACGTCTGTCAAGGAGGACTCGCTCACGCTGCTGCCTTCCATGGAGCAGAGGGTGCAGGAGAGAGCCGGCGCCATGCTCTCTTGCAGCATGCTGAACATCATGGGGATCTGGACAGACCTCAGTCCAGAGATGGTGGGCAGAGGCTTGACAGCCTGTCCCCATGCCCTCTCCTCATCCTTGTAGAGCAGCAGCAAGTTGGATTTCTTCTCCTTCCTCTTGGACTTCATGTAGCCCAGCATGATGCCCATCAGGAAGATGCCGTAGAAGGACATCACAATCAGGACATAGAAGTATTCGTTTCCGTTCCCTCCGCCTTTCTCAAGAGTGGACGCAGCAGGTCCTGTGCTTTCAGCAGCAAGCATGGGCTGGGTCATGTTCAAATTATCCATCGTGAACATCAAAGCACTGTGGGGGAACCGGGAACCTGCAAGAGGAAATAGGTCAGGACATCAAACCCAAAAATCAAAACCCAGAAAACAAAATAAATGCAAACATTTTTAGAAAGCTAAATAGCTGCAAATGGGAAATCCTTGGTCTATATATTTTCAAAAGAAAAGGAACAATGCCAAACGACCACCATCATCATAATCAGTATTTTATATACTTTGCAACTGCCCAGGAAAGATGCCAAGCATTTTTATTCCTTTATTATGGATGTGGGAGCTAATATTCAGGACCAGGGATGGAGACAGGGTGGCCCTCCAAATATTGCTGAATTACAATTCCCATCATACCGGCCTTTGTCTATAGTGGTTGGGGCTGGTAGGAGTTGCAATTCAACAATATCTAGAGGGCCATCATATTATTATGCTGGAAATAATACAGTAGAACAGTTTTTATCAGTTAGGAATATTTTAAGGAAGGTTAGAGGAGGTCCATCTCAATGACTTTACACCAGGTCAGACTATGTTCCATCTAGCCCCATGACATCCACCCCGTCCGGCAGCAGCTTTCTGGCACCTCACAGTGCCTGCTGCCTGCTCCTTGATAATTGGAGATCCCAGGGACTGAACCTGGATCTTCTGCATGAATAGCATGGTGTTGTGCCCCTGAGGTGCAGTCTATCCTTATGCAGTGTGCATCTCTTGCCATCCCCTAATTCTATGAGAGCTGGTGTCATGTTTGGTGGCTGAGGCTGCATACACATGGTACCTTTAAAGCACATTTCTCCCCTCAAGGAATTCTGGACACTGCAGTTGATTGAAGGTTGTTGGGAATGGGAACTCTGTGAGAGGTGAACTACAGTGCCCAGAACACTCTGAGGGAAACATGTGTTTCGAATGTGTTCTAAAGGTATAGTGTTTACGCAGCCTGGGAGTGTGAGCTGAGAAGATTCTGTTTTCAAATGTCACCATAGCCATTGAGTTTCCTCAGCATCAGTCATCCACTCTCAGTTCTGTAAGATGAGGATAATACTTGCCCTAGGCTGTTGCATGTCTTACTAAGAAAAAGTGTACAAAATGCTATTTCTTATAATAATAATCATATGGCAGTTTTCCTTTCCTTTTGAAAAAAATATACAGAGCTTACAGACTTGGGCTTCTATCAGAGCAATACTTTGGTTTGTCTGAAGATAATCCAGCAGACAGGACCACAAAGAGAGTATGTGATCACAAATGAACAAAGGGTGAAAAAGCCATTCTAAAATACAAGAAATATATAAACTTGGAAGGCAAAAAAAGTTTTGGGGGAAGGCTTACTATCCAGACAAGCTTAATGCATCAAAGCTCTGAGAATCTGAATACATAGCTTATCAGTGTTGTTCTAGACAAGGTAATAATAAGAAAACGCTATTATATCTAGTGCAGTGAAACAAAGAAAAAGAGACTTGAACAACTTACGTGAGTCTGCAAATAATTTTGTGCTTCCCAAAGCTCCCAAGAAGACTGTTCACGAAGCAGTTTCCTGAGTTCTGGAAACTTTCTCCGTCCGCTGCCAGAATTAATAGCCTCTGAAGAGAAGTTTCATCACGTGATTCCCAAGAGTTTACAATAGCTGCATGCTGGAGTCAGTGCATGAACTCAAAGGCTTGCGGTTTAACTGGTTGGATTCCTGACACCTCTGTGAAAATGAAAAAGGCTGGGGATGCTGAGTAACTTTTCCTAAACAAAGCTCAGTGCCAGAGAGTGTGGACACAAACACAACTCAGGCACTCACACTCCAGTGGTGGAAACTGTGATTTGTACCGACGGTCGCTTTGTGCCAATGGAGGAAGAAGCTTTACAGTGCAATACAGTTAAGAGAAAGAGCAATCAGCAGAAAATCCCTTTCATGGCCATCTTCAAGTAGGGATGGAGGAATGTGTCAAACATAGGGATGTATATATAGGTTTCTCAATTCCCTATCTTAATTTCAATTCTCCACATTTCCACATCAATTTGTAACTGAAAGAAAAAGTATTCATGAAAATCCACCAGCATTTTAGTGCTATTTTTCCTTGTTTTTTTGCAAAGCAATTTTGCCTAATATAATGAATTTTTGTATGCTACTGTATATCCACTATTATATGTATTTATATGCACACTTTCCTCTAGTATGTTCGTTTTTGTATACATTGCCTGAGAGAAGAACAGCACTGAAAAATTCAGAGAAGTGCAAATTTCAAAAGATACCGTTCATATATTGTTTCGGAAGTGTGAATTAGGTAAGCTTGCTAATGGAATCCAATTTCTCCAACATCCATATGTCCTGTTGCAGACTGACTTAGAAATTGCTCTGGGGAACTAGTTATATGGCATTGTGGTTTAAAGCCTGGCAACAGTGCACTCCGAACTCTAATCAAATTGTGCCACTTCCTTCTGCAAATAGGTCAAACCAGTGACAATAGTAAGAGTTTCAAGTTCTGACCCACTCCCATTTTACTCTTTTCAGCAAGATGCACACTCTTGCTTTCTAATGTGATAAATGATAGTTGAAAGCCTGAGTCCTTCTGGAAGGTGACAGGATCCCCAGGGATGTGATCTACAGGGAGCTGGCTTCAGGAACCAAGCCTGTTGGCCAACCAACTGTTCATTGCAAAGGCAAACAAGACATGAAGGCTGGCAATATCAACTCCGCTATGTGGGAATGCCTTGCAGACGACCACAGTGCCTGGAGACAGATAGGTTGTGCATCCAGAGCAGTGACCAGATGATGAATGTGTCAGGGGCTCAGTCTACTCTTGAGTAGGACCCTGGCAGAGACACATGCCTCACTGGCATGTTCTCTCCCTCCTGGTCTTTCGTTTGGGAGCTTCAAAAGCTTACTTCTGCCTGAACATCACAGCGACCGATGCCAACAGACATCGGCACACTTAGGGATCCGCAGAGTCTTCGCAGTTGTGTAGCAGACCTCAGCAACTCAGCACTTTGGCTAATCTACTTTATTTACATATAAACACACACGGAGCACTGCAACATGGCTCCCTCTCTCTCTAGCATCAGACAGCAAAGAGGAAAAGAACAAAGGACAATAGTCCCACTTCACAGAACACAGTAACACAAACATCCTGTCTCTGTCACTTCCCACTCTGTGGAGTCAAAACATACACCATCATGTGATAGACAACAATCCCATGACTGCAATCACGGAGCAGGAATTCTAACAGAATGACCACTGGGAGGATCACATCTGCAGCAGCACAGCTGGATACCTTCACTTGCCACAGCTGCAAGAAAAACACATCTCTCCTGTATTAGTCTCTACAGCTACAGCAGGCACTATAACCTTCCAATAGTTTGAAATTTGAGTTAACTGACTTAGGGTGGACTGTCTCACTGCTCACAGATATTCAAGGGTGCTCAGTTACTGAAATCCTTCTGCTTCCAGTGTTTGCCCCATCACTAATGGAAAGTTCCAGGATGTGCTAGAATACAGATACAAACATCCCAGATACAAACATTCACAGTGTCTGGCTGGAGTTCTGAGACACATTGGTTCATGTTGCAATTGCTTCCTAAGCAATCCATCTGACGCTATCCTTCAATTGGGTGCATTAGTACAATATAGCTGCTGCAAGTAGTAAATTGTACAAACTGCAGTCTTTTCTTTGCCAGCTGTGGTGATGGTTAATAGCAATGGCTTTAACTGATAAAATAAGGCATTGTCAGGAGCAAGTGCCAGGAGCAAGTCAGCTATAACTCACATGGCTTCAGTGAAGTTGACTCTGTTGAAAGAAACAAGACAACTCAGAAGGCCAGGTCTAGAGAGCACAGCAATTCTTCCCAGTAGATCTTGCCCCTATGAGGTAGCTGTGAGGACTGAAGGTCCCCACTTTCCCACAGCTCCCAAGTCTCCTTCTCCCCCAGTTCCTTCCAAAGCAATCTGAGGCTCCATCGTCTTGCCTGTCTTTGATCCTCCTTCTTCATACCCCTTTGGGTTCTGGAAGACAAGGGGGCAGGAAAGCTGGTCGCAGCAAGACCGGGAGACAGCCTGGCTTCCTCACCAGCTGGACTCATCTCTGCCTCTTGGCCTCCCTCTCCTCTCCAGCCTCCTCTTCTGCCTATGGTTCTGGACTACTCTCTGTCCCAGTCTCTTCCTGCTCACTAAACCTTGTTACCTCTTCAGCTTCCAGCACTCCTCCTCCTCCCAGTTTTCTCACTCTTCTCCCTCTGACCACTCATCATCCCACTACCAATCTCCTAGCTCTGAGCCTTCTTCTCTTGGGGGGTTCCCCAGTTGGTGCCTCCCACCACTGCTCTGCATCCAGTCAGTCTATGACAGGCATCCATGAGAAGCATATGGGCAGAATGTCAAGTATCCTATATTACTGCTTTTGGGGAGCTGTTTCTGATTGCTTCCAGCAATGTGGTTTTCATCCACTTTGCCCAGGAAGAAACTGCGTGTCTGTGAGCATGTGTGTGTGTGTGCATTTTCATTCATTCATCACTGGTCTTTTTGTGAAGGACAATTAAGGCACCAGCAATGCAACTTTGTACTATGCACTAGAATCTCCCCCGTTAAATGTAGCACCAACCACATTGTATCCTCCTCAGACCCCACCACCATCACAGCAACTGCCATTAAAGGAAATGGAAGTGACCCTTCAAAGGATATTTAAGACGCTTTTCTTCCATTAAACTGCTTCTGCCCTCAACAGGAAGTAATAAAAAGGGCAGAGACATGAGGCAGAAGCTTTCAATGAAAGGCACAGAAGTCCTGAAAAATCTCAGTGCTCTAACACTGTGAATAGGCTGGTGATACAATTGCACTGCATTCCTGCCACAAATCATGTTTGGGGGGGGGAGAGAAGAAGACTATGCAGAAAGGTTGCCATGCAACAGGCTAGCAAACATGTGTCAGGGTTCTCTGTAAGAAGTGACTGAACAAAATATGACAATTCCAGACCACACAGCTAGTTTGGAAGCAGCTGCAAAGTCCACCCAGATAGTTGCAAATGAAAACATTTCTTTCTTTCTTTAACGTAAGTATTTGGGTTATGGCATACTTTTCTGTCCTACTTTTCACTTGGCTTGTTTTAGGTGTTGTATCATTTTTATTGTCAGTTGCTGTGGAAGAATTAGTTATTTAGAAAGGCAGTTATTAAAGATTTAAGTAAATGAAATCTGGATGGTAATTTGGCAGCTGTTTATGTTCCATTATGTTTTCACCAAGCAAGTGCAACCACCCATTCTCTGCCATCCTGCTATCTTCCTTTTTATTTACTGAAATTACACATCACGTAATCTATCCCAGAAGCAAATAGAGTGATCTAGGGCCAAGATGAGAAAATAGTCCTGAATCAACCATGTTTTCTGTGTATAACATAAATGTCATCCCCACTGCGTAACTTTCAGGGATGTGTATGTGAAAGGGCATTTCAATTTCTCACTGGATTTTGAAGACTTCTTGATGATAGAGCCTGGATATTTCCCAGTTGAGTCTTGGCTCTTTAAAGGTTAAACAAGCATGTAATTATAGAATCAAAAACTTTCAGTCTTCAAATTTATTTATTTTTTAATGCAGAGACATAAAGACTAGAATAATGGGCTTCCCATCATTTGAAATCAACATGGCTTTGTTGTCTAAGATGACGATCTTTTCCCCTCATCACACGTTCCCATACAATGGCCCAGGAGTTGTTGATGTTGGATTAATATCCATGGGGATTTGATACAACATCATCCGTCTGCAGCATTGCTTTGCCAAGTCTGTATATGTGTGTGTCACCCACCCGTCCCTTATCTCGTAATATTATTTCTAATGTTGACCTAAGTATATCATATCTGGCATTTCACATCCCCCACAGACTTGCATAATCATCTGTAAACTAAGTATGAGTACCCAAAGTTTGCTTTTTCCAACTTTGTGGAGATTGTTGGGTCCAAATTCAGTCCCACTCCCCTGCTAATCTCCGAATAAATAGCAATTGGAAAGCAGCTAAAAACACAGAAGCCTTTCTCCCTGGTGGCAAAGGAATTGCTACAATAGCTTTTCTAGACACCCAGAAGAAAGAAAAACACATGTAATTTTCTATGCTGAGAACTCTTTGGTATTAATCCATGTGGCTATAGACCTGCTGGGAATATTTCATTTCTCCCTCCTGTCGCCTCTCCTCCAATTCATATAATTCCTGATATGATAGGGCATACAGAAAACAAAACAACAATCCCATCTGTGCTTTGTCAGTAATGTCCCATACAAAAACAAAATATTGCTCCAACTTATGCTTCAATAGGTAGCTTGCTGGGTTGGGAGGTTGAAAATTCTTGGATCCGAAACCTTTGTTCGAATCCCTGCTCAGTCAAGAACATGACCGAGTGGCTTCAGACAATTCATTTCTCTAACTGACTAGAGTGCCACTCACACATAACAAAATGCATCTCCTGGGTGGGGGGGGATGCAGTTTTGCACTGAATTTGTATCTGCTGATTTGAATGGATAGAGGCACATTTAGAAATAATTAAGATAATTCAAATAGAAGTATAAAACTTCTCACTATGTTGGCTCGGCTTGCTGTCCAGGAGCTAACTGTGGAGGAACAACTTATGGGCCCCTCCCACTGTCCCTTCTTAGGGTTCATTGCCTACAAACAGGACTTGGACTAGGCAGCCCTTCAAAGAGAAGACTCCTTCAGATAGACAGCCCTTCAGAGAGAAAGCTGTCCTATGTAAAGCAAGACCCTAGTACAGTGGAAGCTCGGTAGTCAAATGTAATCTATTCTGGAAGACCGTTTGACTTCCAAAGCGTTCAACAAACGAGGTTCCACTGTAGCAGCCTACTTCACCAGGTTGCTATGAGGCTAAAACACTGCTCTGAATGCTTAGAGAAAGTACGTGATACAAATGAAATGGAGTGGAATGGAATGGATGAAATGAGATGAAAGAATGAGAAATGATGAGCATGGCTCTTACATTTACACAACTTCCCCTCCTTCTCCTCTAAATTTGCTCCTGGGGTTGGAGAAGATACTTAGGGAGCCTGGGGGTGGGCTCAAAAGGTGAGGAGATGCTAAGTTCCATTGTGTGGCCAAAGGCCAAAGGGACCCGCTTATCTGGAAGCCTCCACTGGAGTCTCAATTCCACCTATGATGCATTTGTATAACAACCCAATACATCATATGGGTGAGTCAAGAGTTCTCCATCTTTCCTCTACTACGGGAATATGAGAAATAGCAGCAACTATTCCAGAGCAACTTAGCAGCCTAGAGTTATAGTGCTGGAAAGAACCAAAAGATTATCAAGACCAACCCCTTGCCACAAGGAAGGTGCACCCGCTGAACCTTCTGCCAGCCCTCCCCTCCCCCTGCCTCATAAATCTATGCATCCCCTTCATTCCAATGTCTGTCTAGGGCAGCGGTTCTCAACCTGTGGGTCCCCAGATGTTGTTGGACTACAACTCCCATCATCCCTAGCTAGCAAGGCCAGAGCTCAGGGATGATGGGAGTTGTAGTCCAACAACATCTGGGGACCCACAGGTTGAGAACTGCTGGTCTAGGGGATGATATACATCTGCCGCCACACAACCTGCTTGAAAGCAACTATTCTCCCCAGGGAGCTGAACAGCTAAATCCTGCAGCCTTCTGTGAAAAAAAATGCTGCATTAACCCTTTGGAAAAGAGCATAGTCCTTGTGCGTATCTGCCAGATTCTATCTGAGTCAGAGAGGATTAATGAGATCAACCCTTTTCTTGATGCATGAGATGCTGATCCCCATTCAATTCCCACTGGCTCCACAACACTCTGCATGTAGCTGAGTGGCGTGTATACAAACTGTGACTATCCTTCCCTGAAGCAATCTGTTTATTATCAGTGTGAAAGGAAGGGCAGGAGGAGGACAAGGGAGTAGACGTTAGGATTTCCCCCACTTTCTAGCACTGGGTATTTACGGAAAGAGAGGCATGAAGATAAATATGGGAAATTATTTGGATCCTGAGATAACATAAGAAATTTCACAGGAGGAGAGCTTCCTGTTGCATCCTCCCTACTGCAGACATCTGTGTCCCCCCAAAAAGTCTCCATGGAGAATCAGGGGCATCTCTTGAATAATGTGCTTTGAAGACCCATCTATTCCAGTTGGCTTTTGGTAAAGAGGATTGTATTAAGATTGTTGTCCTTTGTTTTTAGAGTATTGCTTAGATTGCTGATTGCTGAATTTTTGCCATTTTTATGAATAATATTTTTAAATGTTGATTAACTCAAGTTACAGGGAAGCTTGCTGGCTTATTGACATTTTGTGGTTTGAAAATTATGTATATTGTATTAATTTGTATTATATGAACAGTGGCGTCCATTGCTTGTTTTCATAGCTGTCAAGTGTCCCTTATTTGGCGGGACAGCCCCTTATCCCAGCGCCATGTCCCGCTGCTGTCCCTTATTGATGAGGCTTCATTTGGCTGCTGGCTGGGCTTTCTGCCTTTGGCTCAGAGGGGCTCAGAAGTTGAACATACCTGTGCCCGGAAAATCCCTTATTTTGGCTGCTGATCCCTTATTTTCGATGCTGCTGGTCTCTTATTTTCAAATCTGTAAGTTGACAGCTATGCTTGTTTTTAGGCCTCCAAAAGAGGACTGTGTCCTATAAGAAGACATCAAATGGTTTAAATAAACAAATTTAATGCAGGGTGGCAAATAAGGAACTGCTGGGGAAAGATGAAATCACCCAAAAGTTGAGTAGACATTTGCCCAATTTGGGGTGATTTCTCCCTTTCCCAGCAGATGCCCCCATTAGGGAAATTTCAAACATTACTTTCCCCCAGTTTACACCATACACTAAGCAAGGGAGAAGAGTTAATTACATTTTAGCATTGTCGTATCTGAATATTCAGACATAAATCTGGCACAAAGGGATTGAGAATTTTCCAAGTCAGAACGCTTTGGGGAATTAACTCCAGAGTAGATGCTTATAACCCCCAGTTTTGGAAGCAATTTAAGTACAATACAGTGGTACCTCAGGTTACATATGCTTCAGGTTACATACGCTTCAGGTTACAGACTCCACTAACCCAGAAATAGTGCTTCAGG